TTGTAATTTTTCATCAAATACAAAGCCCTATTTATAGAGTTACATAGATGTGGGGTTTACATAGTATTAATGAAGATATTGATAAACTATCTTAAATAAGTACATTGATTATAAATGGAACTTGAAAGGTTGGGAGATTCAATAGACACATTCATTTATTCATAACAAAAGATATATTTTTTATTTTATTTTAAGTGTTTATAAAAATATGATTAATGATTAAGTGTTGATAGAAATGTGATTATCAAAAAATCAATAATTGTCTATTAGAAAACCAACCGCCATAACTATTAAAAATAAATTATTTCAAATAGACACAAATGTATGAAAATAACCTATTATTTTTATTGAAAAACCAAAAAACGTAGTTATTGAAACAAACAAAAATAAATAATTATATTTATTGGAAACAGAAATAATTGTGTCAATTAAGATATGTCATAATTGCCTATATAAATAAGACAATTGTTCCCAAAAACCATTAAACTATGAAAAATGATTTTGTTTGAATATTCTTTGGTCTAAATAAAAGTCAATGCAAACATTCTTAAGCAATTACTTTAGGGACCATGGCAACACGCACCCTGGAATAGCTCATAGCTACTGCAGAAGTTTCTATCAATGTTGTAACAAGACACTCCTGTACAGGATTGATGGGGTCTTAGGAAATGGGGGAGGGTTATCTTACCAAACTATAAAAAAGGAAAGAAAAAAAAAATACTGGAATTCAATGTCCAACGTTACAGTAGAATCACCCATCCTTCAAGTATTATTCAATAGTGTGGCCAAACATAAGTATTCAATTCAATCTAGATGTATGGCCACCAGCATGGACTAAATTGCTGCAGGAAGTCAGGAATATTCCAATTAAGTTGCGTTCTCTCGTTCAATAAGATTGAATCATTGACCAAATTTTCCTGCACGATCATGTCAGTAGACAGTTAGCAGAACTTTCTCTTGGTCCACTATCTCATGCTGCCTTTTCTCGCCTTCTGTTCACACCCAGACGTAACAGAATAAGGTTCAACTATTTCTATCAATTCAATTCCGTCAAGTGTTTTAGAGAAAACAAAATTATCATTAATCAAATTATAATTTACCTCAAAGTGTCTCCACACTTTTCTGCTCTTTATTATTGCTTAAGCACTTGAAAGAGTTGCTGGTGATAAACAGTTTTAGGGGGAACAAGATCGAAAAACAATTTTAATGGTCAAATTAGACACACACTGCCACTCTGAAAGCTGTGTCCCAAAACAAATCTGTCAAAAAACACAAGAAAAGGAGCAGCAAATGCTTGCTCCAACTAGTAAAATTGAGATGATTATCTCAAAGAGCAAAATCAACTTATACATTTGTCTCTATTGTTGAAGATGCGCACATTTGACTCCCCCATTGGAAGTAAACAGTGACTGAAAGCCTTTTCTTCTTTTGTTAAAAAAAGTCTTAACTCATCTTCACTGGTTTTTTCTAGTCTCATTACATTCTCATTGCTGTAAGAATATTAGATGCTTGTGAATTTGAGATCAACATCGAGAATGCACCAAAGGAGGAGCTTGGAAGCTTGTTCTCTTTATGTGGTATGAAAATGTAATGAGATATCAGATACGGCAACAAAATAAATGAAATTACCCAGCTAGCATAGTTCACTGGCTACAAAAATACTTACGGTGAAAAACCATAATTTCTAAGAGTACCAGAATTCACAACATTTCCATGAAATCTCGGTTATCTTGCCTCCACTACTGTGATAGCAAAATCATTAGAACAAGATGGTTTCCTATTATCTGATGAAGAACTAGCTTCAACCAGATCTCTCTCAGTGAAAAATCCTGGTTGTTTAGGCTGAGGCAATGGAACTTCACTACTTAGCATCAGAACAACGTTGGAAATGCTTGGCCTATCCTCTAGATTTCGTTGAACGCATAGTAGTCCTATGTGAATAGCTCTTAGTACTTCGAAGTGAATGCAGGTGTTCTTAATTGGATCAGCACTCAATTCCAAGGAATTGCCATCACAAAAAAGTCTCCATGCCTAGGCAAGGAAAACCGTTTAGCAATAGCAGAACATAAAATCTAGATTTAAGAAGATTACAGTTTGACACTTACATGACCAAGAAGGTTGTGCTGATGATCTGGGTGATAGAATCCTCTGTTTCTCTTCCCACTTACTATTTCTAAAACCAGAACACCAAAGCTGAAAACATCGGATTTAATTGAGTAAAGTCCATCAATTGCATACTCTGGAGACATGTACCCGCTGTAAGAACCACCAAAAAAGCATAAAAAAAACAAGTTTAGAAGTTTTGAATTTAAACTATGTATCGTAATTTTTGGACTCATACTTACAATGTTCCCACCACTTTCTTTGTGTTTGCTGTAGTTTCCTTTTCTCCAAAACTTCTAGCCAGGCCAAAGTCAGAAATTTTTGGGTTCATTTCATTGTCCAATAAGATATTACCCGCTTTCAGATCTCTATGTATTATTCTTTGTCTGGAATCTTGATGAAGATAAAGGAGCCCTCTCGCAATCCCATTGATAATGTGGTAGCGCATCGACCAATCTAGTGACATGCTTTGAGTTTGATCTTCACAATTTTTAAACAAGTCAAGCCATTTTATTGCTAGTTAGATCACTGATTATGTGGGAGATTGAGAGAAGGATATAACCAAACAAATTAACTATGTCAAATATACTAAATTTCCTGAGTTTGATAAAGACATACCAAAGATAAAGAAGTCCAGGCTCTTGTTAGGCATGTATTCATAGATCAACATCCTTTCATCTGCATGAATACAGCATCCAAGTAGCTTCACTAAATTCCGATGTTGAAGTTTGGCAATATGTTTAACTTCATTTGTGAACTCATTGAGTCCTTGTTTAGAACTCTTTGACAGCCTCTTCACAGCAATTTCTTGTCCATCCTTCAAAACCCCCTAAAAAGGTGTACACAATGAATGTAGAAGGAAATTATAAAGCAGACAACTTTCCTGATTAGGAATCACTTTAAAATTTCTACTACAGGAAGAAAACAGTAGTCATGGCTATGATGTAAATGCAAAGATGTGGAAGCAATGGAGACAACAATCATAATCTTTCACTGAATATATCATATTGTTACCTTGTAGACATATCCAAAACCTCCTTCTCCAAGTATATTCTTCATTGAGAAGTTATTGGTCCCAGAAACAATAGCTGTAAAGTCAAATAATGGTAACTCTAGATCTTCCGTCTGATTTTGATGTTCAGAACTACCATCTGAGGGGAATGTCTGCAATCCTGTGACGTAGCAAGTTGAGTAAATATAATATGTAACTTATCTGTAAAACTTCTCATTTGTAAGAATTTGTAATGCATAATTAATAATATCCTGGAGCTGTTGTGATAAGAGCATTATCCTGTTGAATAACATCTGCTTCATTCCTGTTCCCTGCCCTCAATCATATTTAACTAAGAAGCTGAGCAAGTTTGGTAAGTTCAGTCAATGGGCTGAGATTTGTACTTCCTTTAATCATAATTTCTCTTATGCATACTTGATTTCGCTGAAATGAAAATTTTTTTGTGGAAAATTTCTAGCTTATGAAGTATAGAAAGTTATGCACATTCTCACATCACCAATAGTGTCAACATTTTCATAGCAGTTGTAAAAATGAAAATTTCTATAACAGCTTAAAGAAAATGAATTGGGGACAAGGAAAGATGTGCCTTTTCTCTGGCGTTTCTTCCTTCGCCAAAGCAAGACCAAAAGTATGCCTGCAATTAGCACTCCTGCAGACAATGCGGTGCTTGCTATAATTCTTGTTCTGTTCTTCGCATTGGATTTTTCTTTGTTCCTTGTGCTCTCATTTTGATCTGTATGGACAGCAAATCAAAGCAGAGAATCACTCAAACAAGAACAAGGAAATTCAATTTTTCACTGTCATGTTTATGAATATGTCAGTTGAGTTACAACTTCCCAGACGTTTAGGTGTAGTACCAACTAAAAACCAAAATCCAATTGCTAATTTACACAAGCATTATTTTTATAGGAGTGACAGTACCATTCCAACCTAGCAGGAAAATTTCTAGTTTATTATTTTAGTATATCCTATTATATATACCTACAAAAATTTAACTTATTCCACATTAAATCTTAAACTATTTCAGATACTGCATGCTTTTCTCGTTCTCTTTTACCTGGACAAGTTAATACTATCTCTATAAAATCTGTAATAATATAAAGATTCTGCAGAAGCTTTACAAAAATCTGCATACTCAAAATTTTGAGGCTTGTTGTTATTTCATACCTAGTTCTGATGCAGCAACCTTCACATAGATATCTTGAGCACTATCAGATATATATCTTATATCAATGAGGTCTGTAAACCAGAGCAAACACCCACTTCCACCATTTCTTATGTCCAAATTAGCATAACCTGTGCAGGTGCAATTTGCCAAGCACAGGCTTTTGCACTCCTCTAAGCTTATATTGTAGTTATACCATGATTGTCTTGTTTCTGGCAACTTTACTGCAGAGACTTTTATAAAATCATCTCCAGAACAGTTCAGGCGAGTCTTTCTCACGCAACCATCTGTCCCTGGTACTGCATCCCATTCCTTTGGACTTTTCGGTACAAATCCTGTCATGCAACTACAGACAGGGGACTTGTTGTTGTCACAGACACCATTTGCACCACATAATGCGTACCTGTCACAGTTATCTATGTAAAGTGGAAGGTTTTGTATCCAACCTCGATTTGAATCAATCCACATCAAGGGCTCTATTGCTCCACTCTGACTACTTAGCACCCCCCTTAAAAGAATGGAGCTATTGCGAGGAGTGAATGTTAGATATAGCTCCTCCTCATTAAAAACAAAATCATAAGTGTACATAGGGTTTTCCTTCATTTCGAGCATCCCACTCATCCGCTCACCATTGTAAGGTCCAGACCGGAATCTGACAGTCGAACCCTCTCTCACTACAACCTCTGGAAATCCTCCAAGCTCAAATCGATATGTGAACTTTCCTGCTGAAGGATCGTCAGGACTTTTCCAAGATGATAGGAAACGATCCAGGCCTGTTCTGAAGTCTCTTCCAATCTTCATTCGTGCAATGAATGTATTGCCTGGATAATCAAAACTTTGCCAAATGAAGTTTTCTGGATTACCGTCGCCATCATCTTTCACAATAAGATTTCCTGAGTCCAAGAGCTGCACAACTGGGATACGAACAGGTCTCGATGCATTGGAAGACCAAACAGTGCTCCCATTACTATCTAGAAGGACAAGAATTCCCTGGTCGGTAACTCTTAAAACACTGGATGTATCATTGAGGGGCACTTCTCTATTGGCCACCCATGGAACCGTCGTGACAGAATTCTGGTACCATATCCCCAAGTATCTTTTGCTGCTGGAACCTGGGCTAAAGAATCCTAGTTCAAATATTCCACCAGCTGAAACTAAGGTGTCACCATCTCTAATTGAATGAGTTGTATTTATGCTGTCCACTGAAATGGATACTGTTACATGAGGCCACAAAAAGGAGCAAAGCAGAAGCAAGATAAAGCCTGCCATTGATAACAACGAGAAGCTGAAGCCTTGGAAGACCCCATTCCTTTTATGATAATTTTCCCTTCAGAATGTCACAATTTCAACATTGAAATCTCAACCCTGAGGTGCCTTTTCGGACCGCTGCTAAAGCTTTCTGGTGGGGCTAATTTTTTCAGCCTTCATGATCCAAAGAATGAAGAAAGTCAGCAAAATTTTCTATCCAAGAGACTTTACAAGAATTTTCTTTTCAACACCGCCTACCTCAAAATTTCTAATGCAACTAAAACTATCTTTTATTCATATTTTTTTATGTAACCTACTTGCTTCGACTAAAATATATATTAAATTTATATAAATTTCTCCAGGACCTGAGAAATAATGCCATTTGACTTCTGAATTTTTGCTCCAAGCATTTGGGTTATATGAATCCGATCCTCACTACATAAGGGTGTATCCTCCTCCTTATACACCATTGAAAAGTCAATCTTTCAAATCCTTGAGCAATGCTATGCCTTGTATTTTCCCAAAGACCTGTATATAAGCTCTTTGTACTTATTATTTTCTATTAAAATAATAACTAAAACTATGAAAACGGCAGGTCTGCCGTCCATTTCTGACTGTTGTTCCAGAACTTACTCAACTTTCATGATTCACAAAGAACGAGAACAAATATACATATACATATATATATATATATATATATATAGTATTACAGTTTAATTTGTGGGTCTGATTGATACATCCTTTTCTTTTCAATGACATACACAAACACCTTTCTGCTGCTTTGACTTCCATGGCATCTCATGTTTGCACTATACACTGAGTTTAAGTTTTAAAATATTCTTTTGTTTAACTTTGAACAGCTTTGGGTTAAATTCGTGTAAAACTTCTGGGTTCCCACGACGATCAGTCCTGGATGAGATAAAGTACCAAAGATAAAGTTTATTAGCCTTAGTTTTATGTTGTTCTACCAAGGAAAACAGGGGTTATGATTGGTATTTTCTGTAGATTTTTCCTACGTATAACTGCATAACAGAGAAAAGAAAAGTATATGTGGAGTATATTATTAGATTATTATTATTTAGAAATTATAGGTATGATAGAATTTTTTTTATTTAATTTACTTGTATAAGGACTTTAGGTTAATCATGTTCTATTTAGGAATAGAACATCTATTTTATTTAAATCTCTTGTTAATTACTCTAATTGTACTAGGTAATTGAGAGTAGTTATTATACATGTAGTAATTTTTGATAGGATTATTGTCTTCTTTGGATAAGTATTATTTTATAATTATATATATAAGTGTAGCTTTTCGGTAATTAAAATCAGAACAAATAACTATTTTTAATTAATATTAGTTTATTTTTTTCTCTACCAGTAAGAACCATATATCTGACAATTATATAACAATTTATATTCCCTTAACATTTAGCTAAGTACAAGTTCTATATCTAGAAAATTAATATACATCATCCAACAAAAATGGAAACCTTCGAATTATAAATGTTATTTACTTTGTTTAAACAATATATTTTTAATGAAAATTTTTTTTAGATATTTAATAGGATTATTATGTTCTTTGGTTAAGTACTGCTTTAAAATCATGTATTTAGGAGTAATTTTTAGTGATTGAAACCAAAGCAAATAATTATTTTTAATTAATATCATTTTATCTTTTCTTCTATCGATAAAAACCATACATTCATGCAATTAACTAATACAATATAATTTTCCCTACAAACTCTTTGAAGGTATTAAATTTAAATCTATTCCAACATAATCTATATTTTCTATGATCTTTTCCGTAGCATTACTACGGATACCATCCTAGTTACATAATAATTAGAACTTACAAATTGTAAAGTTAAAACTTTGACAACATTCAAAGTTTCAAAAACAAGTGTACAATATTGGCAATGAGCTAACTCCTGAACAAATACACCAATTGGCATGAAACGTTTTGATTATCTTGCCTCTAACTCTGCAATGGTGAGATCATTAGATGAAAGCGGTTTGTGATGATGCCTTGAGGAAGAACTGGCTTCGACCAGATCTCTTTCGGTGAAAAAGCCTGGTTGTTTAGGCGGAGACAAGGGGCCTTGACTACCCATCATCAGAACCACATTGACCATGTTTGGTCTATCTTCTGGACTTCGTTGCACGCATAAAAGACCTACATGAATTGATCGTAACACTTCACAAGGATTGCTGGTTTCCCTAATTGGTGATGCAATCAACTCCAAGGATTTTCCTTCACCAAACAGTCTCCAAGCCTGTTCAACAAACACCAGCTAAATAAAAGTAAATCTTTAAGATTCTCCTGTTGTTCCAACAGTATATCTAAGTTTCACGTTCAGAGTTAATATCATAATCAGACTTACATGCCCAAGAAGATTAAGCTGGTGATCTGCATGACAGAATCCTCTGTTACGCTTCC